TATATATATATATATATATATATATATATATATAAATCTCTTGTCACAGTTTTAGTGGGTTTTAGTGGATTTTGATGAAATTTTATATGTATATTCAGTAGGTCTGAGAATAGGTTTGTAACTAATTTTTTTTCCTTTTTTGGGCATATTTAACGTATATTTTAAATATATCTTTATTTAATCGTATTCGGATCCAAACTAGACATAGAAACATAACAATTAAAAAACAATATTCAAGCACGTTGCAATAAGTCATATTGAACTCTAATACTTATGCACGTCCTTAAAAGAAGAGCTTCAAATATATTTGCAAGTATGTGAATAAAGGCAGTGATATAGCAGTATTTCAAGCTGAAAGTGCCAATGTGACTGCTCTTCCAGTGAATAACAACGACGAAATAACGCTGTACCAAATAGGCCGGTACAACAGCGCCAATGAAGCTGTTTGGCGTATCCTTGGATTCGGGAATGAACGGGATCCAACCGTTAGTCATTTTAGCCGTCCATCTTGAAAACGGTCAGAGCGTATATTTCACGAACGAGACAGCGATTGACAGAGCTATAAATCCACCGAAAACTACACTCACCAAATTTTTTGAATTGGGCAATCGCACGGATGCTTTTGGTACCTTTGCACAGACATTACTCTACTCAGAAGTACCACCCTATTTCACACGGGTTCAAAAAAATGGATAACCCGCAAGCAAGGCACACCGGTTGATGCATGTCCCAGTTTATTCAAATCAAACGCCTTGGGGAGAATATTTACAGTCAATCCAAGGCAGACTGAGTGCTTTTATTTTCGACTGTTATTGGTTAATGTCACCGGCTCATTGTCATTTCAAGATATACGTAAAGTCGATGGACATCAGCATCCAACTTATAAAGATGCATGCCTTGCACTCAGCTTGCTGGAAGACGACAACCAGTGGGAATGTATGCTTGCTGAAGCAGTATTAAACTGTACAGCAAAGCAAAATCGTCTACTATTTGCTATAGTATTAACAACATGTTTCCCGGCCCGTATAGAAACGTTATGGGATAATCACAAAGATTCGATGACTGATGATATACGGTAACAACATCGCACACGTTGCAACGATCTAACGATAGCATTCAGCGATGATATGTACAATGAAGCACTGATTGTTGTTGGGGATCTTTGCATTATTATTGCCAACTTGCCACTCAGTCATTCGGTATGCCTTCACCAAATCGAAGTGCATCTGATTTATTAAACACTGACATGAATCGTGAACTTCAATACAACACGATAGAAATAGCAACGATTGTTACTCGCAAAGTTCCACTAATGAATGAGGAACAAAGGAACATTTATGACCGCATTATGCTGGCAGTTTCGGCAGGACAAGGTGGATTTTTTTTCCTGATGCACCAGGTGGAACTGGCAAAACATTTATTATTTCGCTAATTCTCGGTGAAATACGATCAAATAATGGCATCCTGTTGGCCGTTGCATCATCTGGCATTGCGGCAACTTTATTGAACGAACCAACGAATTGAATCTGTAGATGCAACAGTTATTGCCAGGTAACTTGGTGGCATATAAATCCGTTGGTGCAGTTTGCGATCCCATTGAAGCTGCAAATTTTCCAACAGAGTTTTTAAACTCATTGGATTTACCTGGCATATTTTAGTACTCAAAGTTGGATTTCCGGTTATTTTGCTTCGTAATTTAAACCCACCATGGCTGTGCAACGGCAAGCGAATAGTCGTTAAAAAATTAATGAACAACTCTATCGAAGTCATTATTTTAAATGACAAATTCCGGGGTGAAAGTATGTTACTTCCACGAATCTCTATTATACCCACAAATGTGCCAATTCAATTTAAACGCATTCAGTTCCCCTAGATTGGCATTTGCAATGAAAAGGCCAAACAGTGTCTGTTCGTGTCTTAGATTCGAGCAAACCATGTTTTTCACACGAACAATTAATTATACGTGGCATGCTCTCGAGTGGGCAAACCATCCAGTTTATTTATGTTAGCTAAAGATGGAATGACAAAAAATATAGTACATTCCATTGCACTAAGAGATTAATATTGTTGACTAATATTTTCAGAATTCATTGTATATATAATTTATAAAAAAAAGTTGACATAAATTAAAAAAATTATTATTTGGTGTGTTGTTATTTTCACATTTTGCCATCGTTCAAAGCGCTCCATGCCTCTTCCACTCTCATATACCACATACGCACGCACTTATA